CCATGCGAAGAAGTCAAAGAAAGTAATTTTAGCCAATTCAAGGAGAACCACATCCCACTTTATAGTAGCTTGGGTATATACATACTGATTATAACTATAAAGGTCGATTTACATAAGTCCTGAGGGGACTGCAAGAATGAATGGAATAATCTTAGGCAGGACAAAGGAAGAGCTAGTTTAAAACACAGGTTGAAAGAATGCAAAACACATTTTGGTGAAAAACAAATAGGATAAGAGATACTCCACATGCACTGTGTCTATAGGGGGTTATATGAAATGTAGTAAGCAGATTTTTCTCCCTTTGAAAATATTGAGGACTAGAAAAGAGGAAGAATGTGAAACTGTAGAAGGAAGACAGGGGACTAGGAAAAAAGGTTGTCAGTAAGGGAGTCAGAGTTGCTGGGAGGAAGGAAGGCTAAGAGAATTCAGCACAGCAGAAACTCTGGGGCCAGGGATGATGGTTCAGGGGAATGTTGGGAAGGAGCTCCGTAGGTGTGAGGGATCAAGGTGTGTGACTCACACTTATTCTTTTTCTCTTATTAGGAGATGCTGTCCATGCTGGGAGACCAGAGTAACAGCTACAACAATGAAGAATTTCCTGATCTAACTATGTTTCCCTCCTTTTCAGAATAGAACTGTTGGGGTGAGGATAAGGAGTAGGGGAGAAAAATCACCATTTGTTTTCAAAAAGCAAATCTTTCTGTAAACAGAATAAAAGTTCCTCTCCCTTCCCTTCCCTCACCCCTAATGTGTACCCCCTTTCCCTTCTGACCTTTCCCTTGCCCTCCTGCCTCTCTGAGATAACATTTATAGAAGAAATGGAGTGAATCCTCAAGGCTTTGGGGACCCTTTGAAAAATTGAGGCTGGGTGAGGTTAAGAATGCCTTTCCTTATGTCTGCCGACCAGAAATTTGTGCAGAGATAATTTGTGCGAGGGTCAAGGGGCAAGTTGGAGAACCTGACATCCACTGTTTGCCTTGGATACTATGTCATGTTTTTGTAAAGAAATTCTGACTAAGGTCAGGGAGAGAAGAAATGTCCTCATATTTGAGGACCATGAAACATGGTAGGTATATATGGGACTTTAGGAAGTGAGCATAGGCTCTTTGTGCTGCCTGTGAGCAATTCCTCTGGAAAGAAATATGAGTGAGGAAATGAGAGAGAGAGTGAGTGTGTGTGTGTGTGTGTGTGTATATGTTTGTGGGGGCGCATGCACGTGTGCATGTCTGTCTCTGTTTCTCTCTCCCTATTAGGGAGTTATGCAAAATTTGTCCCAGATTTTATCTTTGTCTTTCTGTGTATTTTTCAAAGAGTCCTAAGGAGTTAAATCTTCCAGGTATTTTCCATTTAGTATTGCAGCCAAAGAGTATTTAAATAAATGTCTTTGCTGCACTTGACATCTATGCCCAGCCAATATGCAACCGTAAGCAAATATATAAAGTTTTCTGTTGATATGGTTGGTCTGTCATTGAACATATTTAGTGATAAAGCTGGGTCATTCCGGCTTTTGGTGCTCTCACCTTATATGGAAGATCTGCAAACGTTACAGAAATAGGCTGGCAAGATAAACACTTTCAGAAACCCCATACTTGGCCGTAAGGATAATGCTGCATTTTTCTGTCAGAATCACATATGATGTGTGTTATGTAGAGGTTATTTCTGCATGGAAACTCAACTTCTTGGATTAGCAATCCCAGTGAAATTCCTTACTGCTGGAGTTTAAACCAAATACCAAGCCTTCTTGCAAAGTAGCCTCTTTCATCGCATTCTCAAAGTATCCAGTCTGGCAAGAAACTGAGATTCAGGTCTCTTCTGGGCCTATAGTTCTTTCCTCTTTGCTCCCTCTCCAATCTTGAGATTGGATTTTGCTTTATAGTACAAGTGTAATAAATCCATGTGATAGATGGGACCTGGACTCCCATGCCAACAGGGTCACTTAATAATTAACTATAGCCATATAAATGTGGATACAGGTTACTACTCTCACTCTTTACCTTCCTCAGGTAACAGTCATGTGTATCAGCCTTTTTTTTTTTTAATTGGCTCAGGCCAGTGTCTTAAGTGCAAGACTGAATTAATAAGGAGAAGACATATTAAATGTAGCCATAGGGGACTGAGGAGCACAGATGGCCTTGGAGAGGCTGAGAGAATGTCATTACTGGGTATCCCTCCTTTTTGTCTCCAGTCTGGTGCCAGGTAGTGGAGTGGAAAAGGAGACAGTTTATTTTTTTATTCTATGTGCACACATACAGTATACATATATATTTATATCACAATTTAAGAAACCAAAAAGTTGAGTTTCCAATGAAATCTTTGTTTTTTAATAATCGACTTTTTAAATGTGATCAGGACTATAATATTGTACAGTTATTATAGGGCTTTTGGGGAAGGGGAGGGGAGGGAGAAGATGCTCTGGGGGTTTTGTTTCTGCTTTTCCTTCAGGGTTTTATTTTTGATTGTTTTGTTTTGTCCTTGGCCATTTCTGTACTGCTGGCATCTGTGCTGAGCCTTACAGTGGCAAAAATAATGACATGTAGCAAAGATTTTAAAACAAAATATTTTTTCCTTTTGTAAACTTGCTTGTGTTGTGTGATCTTGATTGTGGCTTTATTATTCCTTTCCAGCTCCTAAACAACAAACACCCACAACTAGTTGAATTTGTAGCTTGAGCTCCAAATATACAAACATAAAGCACAGTGTGTCTGTAATTTCAGGAAATCAGAAATCATAGGGCTGTGATCACTCAGCATTCCTTGGTTGTCCTCCTGATCCTGACTCATTCTGAGTAAAATCAGCAGGGACATCTGACCATGGGATGGTGGTTGGGGGATTGCCCTAGTCCTCGGGAGAGGGGGAGTAGGGCACATCTGGATTCCTTCCCCCAGTGTGGCATCTTCTTCTGGATTAAAAGGAATTAGGGATGGGGAAATTTAAACTATTCAGGTCTGGACCTGGTTTCCCTCTAGGACCATGTGGTTCATTAGTAAATCTTAAAACCCACAGACATAAACCTGTGTTCTTGACGGTCTATGTTTGTAATCCAGCTAGAAACTGAATCTAGAGCCCATGTATTATCCTTTCTGTTCAAAGGACCCTCTTTTCCTCTTCCCCCATATCTGTTTAGGGAAGACAATGGAGTTTGGGGATGTGGTTTAGGGATTGAACTAGACTCTTATGATCTGTCACATGCCTGGATATTGGGGGAAACGTTTGGAGAAGCTCATATGACTGGATCTGGATCGGGGATTTTAATAATTGGACAGCTAATGTTCATCAGGCATCCCACCATCTGAGAGTTTTAGCAACAAAGAAGTCACATGAGAGTTTGTCAGTGCTTATGGCACTGATTCAGGTGCTGTCATCAATAACCAGGATACTGTTTTTGGTTACTTTAGAACCGGTTTCATCTGGACTTTCTGGGCATATCCTTCCTCAGCAAAACCATATTAGGCTAGGAGAGCTTCCTGCCTGGAAGCAGTGACAACTTTTAGCCAACAAGCTTATAAAATATAAATGATTTTGGAGCCTGTGGCTTCTCATACATACTGTTGTCTAGCCTTTTGAGTTTATTCCCTCATCCCTGATGTAAGTGACAAATTCAGACACAAGGTTGAAAACTGAGGTTTCAAAATTGGAGAAATGGGTAATAACAGGAAAAGGGCAGGAAGAGATGTAATCCCCCAATGTAATAAATAACATATAATAAAGAAGAAAGATGGGGGAGACCAGGACTGTTTCCTTCTATTTATCCAACAAAGGGAAGGTAAGTCCCAACTTGAGTAATGTGTATTGAGGCCTTTTTTTGGTCTGCCTCAAGTCATGTGAAACTAAATAGCAAGTCTCCACCCTGGCACACACTCCGTATGCGCACAGAAACACTGCAAATCTGCTGCCTCCTTTCCTCCTCCCTAACCCCCCTTCTCTCAGCATTTCTGTCCCCGCCTCCCTTCCCTATCCAAATTTTCCAGCCAGCAGCTGGAGATGACTTCCGCAATCCTGATGGAATAAATCCACCACCCCTAGTCAGCCGCCCACATTATCCACACTTCCCTGCCGAAACGAGCCCAGAAAACAGATCCCCATCAGCAGGTAAAGTTTTCAACTTCCTACATCTTTTAGATTCTCATTCCTGCCAGTTTTCCATTTTAGGAGTATTAGGGATGTAGTGACTTGGGAATCAAAATGAACTTTTTAGGCTGTGTGGATGAAAACAGTGATGCCCTTCTTAGGTCATTTCCTGGCCAAAAAAGATCTGCGTGGAAATCGTTAGGATTCCTTCTATGATTTGTATATATATATGCATGGTTGTTAGTGAAAGCAAAGAATATAAGGAATCCTTTGCCCATCCCTCAAAAAGTGGCCTCTCTATGGAGGGTTTTCTCTTTTGGCCAAAAGTACCGAAAGGGTTAACTGACTAGTGGGGAGGAGGAGTGGTGCAGGGAGCTGGTGGGCTCAGTACTTCCTACTCAGAGACATCTCAAAGCCCTTAACACTCCAGATATTAAATGTCCTGCTGGACATTTTGCCAGTTTGCAAAGATTACAAAAAAAATGGGCTATAAATTCAAATATTATGCAAGCTGTATGACTTGCTACAGACTAAATTGTTCTTAAAATGGAAGACACATAATTCAAGGCACTGCAAGAAGTGAGTGAAGCTAGAGTAAACTTCTGAAAAGCCGTGCATTTAATGATCATAGAACATTGCTTTTCTGTCTTAATAGTCTTCTAACAAACTTTGGTTCTGAGGCTTTATGTCTTGTGACTCGGTCACAGAGGTTTTTTGTGTCAGAAAAGAAAGGAAAACCTTCCTGCCCACAGCAGCTGGTTGAGATTAGGACAGTTTCCTGCCTGAGGGGAGAGCAGGAAGAGAAAGGAGGAAGAAAAACACAAGAAGAATGAGGAGACAGTAAACATCTCAGAGAATAGCAAATACTGTCAACTCTTCCCTTGTCCTCTCCTGGCAAGATCTGGAAAACTGTCAGAACTCAGACAAAGAAGAGAAGAGTGCCTTGAAGAAATGATCAGGAAGCAAAACTTAGCTGGAAATCTCTCCTTTGTGTATTCTCCAACCCTATTCATCCCGCCTTGCACTCACTCACCTTGTCCATCTCCTCCAAGTCTGCTGGGGTCACTGGGGGAGCCAGGTGCTCGGCCCATCCTGATTGTCCATTTTCTATCCCTTTTCTGGTTGTCTGTGCAATTGTGTGTGTGTGTGTGTGTATGTTGATTCTCCCTAGATCAAAACACTTGGAACCAGATGTATCAGCACCCCATCTGACCCCAGACCCCTTCTGACTACCATTGTTTGTTTTATCATATGGAAATCACCCTCAATTCTTTGTCTACCTTCCTCATAAAGCCTAGTTTTCCTTTGCTTTGTGGTTGGGAGGAAGGGATTCTTAACTTGGGTCCCCAGAATTATTGTGTGTGCATACATTTTTCTGGTGAGAGGGACTAGAGTGGGTTGCAAAATTTTGTTAGCTTCTCAAAGGAGTCTTTGACTCCCAAAGGTTGAGAAGCACCTGTCTGGGAATATGGCTCCAGTTATTTCCTCATCCCAAGTCAGGCTAAGAAACCCTTGGCAAATGGAAGAGTCTCTCCTAATTATCCTTTTCCCCAGAATGTGGGGGCTCAAGGTTCTACTGCTGCTGCCCGTGGTGAGCTTTGCTCTATATCCTGAGGAGATACTGGACACCCAATGGGAACTATGGAAGAAGACCTACAGGAAGCAGTATAACAGCAAGGTACCTGGGGACCCGGAGGGGAGCATGGTGGGAGGGCTGGAACCTGAGACCTCCAGTCGTAGCTTCCAGACTCTCTTCAATCCAAATACTTGAACCACTCCAACCAAGCAAACTTGTCCTTGTTCTTTAGCTCTTAACATATAGTTTTCCTTCCTACTCCTCAACTCATCCTCCATCAAGTCCTATCCTTCCTTTTTTTTTTTTTGTGAGGAAAATCAGCCCTGTGCTAACATCTGCCAATCCTCCTCTTTTTTTTTGCTGAGGAAGACTGGCCCTGGGCTAACATCCATGCCCATCTTCCTCCACTTTATATGGGATGCTGCCACAGCATGGCTTGCCAAGCGGTGCATCAGTGCGCGCCCGGGATCCGAACCGGCGAACCCCGGGCCGCTGCAGCAGAGTGAGCACACTTAACCGCTTGCACCACCAGGCAGGCCCCCTATCCTTCCTTTTCTTTGTAACTGTCTTATATTTCTCTTTTGGGAAGACTTCTCAAATTAATGCTATTAATCTATAAGCAATTTTTCTATACATCCCTCCAGAGCTTTGCATTCTATTTATATTTGTTTACATATTTATTTTTGCATGTTATTAATCCCATGGTCAGTTCCCCAACTAGACTGTAAACTCTCTTTAAGTTTCATCTTTTCTTCTGAAAACCTGCACAGTATTACATACATAACTTTGCACACAGGACACAGTCTATGCTAGTACTGACTATGCTCTGTTTAGGTGGATGAAATTTCTCGGCGTTTAATTTGGGAAAAAAACCTGAAGCATATTTCCATCCATAATCTTGAGGCCTCTCTTGGTGTCCATACATATGAATTGGCCATGAACCACCTAGGGGACATGGTGAGTTGCTCCTCAGCTCCTGGCTTCCTGCCCTGCGTGCCTTAGTTCCCTGCTTATGCCTGGCCTCTTTCTTTTTTGTCCCAGACCAGTGAAGAAGTGGTTCAGAAGATGACTGGACTCAAAGTACCCCCCTCTCATTCCCGCAGTAATGACACCCTCTATCTCCCAGACTGGGAAGGCAGAGCCCCAGACTCCATTGATTATCGAAAGAAGGGATATGTTACTCCTGTCAAAAACCAGGTACCCTCCTTACTCCTGGGTGTGAGTATGTAAACTGGCATGACCTCTTCCTTTTTCTTCTTTGTTCTTAAGGTAGGAGGGTACCAGGAAGGGGGGGGCAAAGAATTAAGGTACCTCTCCCCATGCTAAGAGAATATAGCCTATTCCAATATTTAACTCATCAGCTATTTTCGTACATTTAGGTTGTCCTGGTTTTTCTTTTTTTACAAATATTGTTTCTGTAAGCACCCTTGTGCATATATTTTTGTGCACATGTACAAATATTTATGCAAAATAAATCCCAAAATTGGAATTGTTAGGTCACAGAGAATCCCTTCCAAAAAAGTTTTTACAATCTTACATTCTTACCAGCTTGAGAATGTCAGTTTTCCTACAATGTTAACAACACTGACTGTATCAACCAGATGAACGATTGATTTAACATTCATTCAACAAACACTTATTTTCAGAACCTACCAGGTATAGTGCTAGTCAGTAGAGACTCAAGATGACTAAGACATAACCTGTGACCTCAAGAAATCTTCAGTCCTAAAAAAATAGAACAGGAGGGGCCAGCCCAGTGGCGTAGTGGTTAAGTTCGCGCGCTCCACTTCAGCAGCCCAGGGTTCGCAGTTCGGATCCCAGGTACAAGACCTACACACCACTTATCAAGCCATGCTGTGGCGGCGTCCCACATATAAAGTAGAGGAAGATGGGCACAGATGTTAGCCCAGGGCCAATCTTCCTCAGCAAAAAGAAGAGGATTAGCAACAGATTTAGCTCAGGGTGAATCTTCCTCACAAAAAAAAAAAAAAAAAAGAACAGGAAAGAGAGAAAAGTTTACAATCTAGCTGAACAAATACTACTAATAATAGCTAGCACTTTTTGAGAGATTATTATGTCAGAAACTTATAAATCCTTTACATGAATTAACTTTTTTAATCCTCATAATCCCGTTAAGTACATTATTATTATCCACATTTTAAAAATAAGGAAACTGAGGCACAGGGAGGTTTAGTAACTTACCCAAGGTTACCTATCTAGTGGGTTGCAAAGCCAGCTCTACTCTGCTTTGCTATAGCTAACGGTAACAATAGTAACAACAGTTATCAATAGCAACAATAGCAATAGAACAATGCAACAGGTGTTAAATGAAGGGAAATAGGGAGACTTTGCAGCAAAGGGGACTTGTGTCCTGGACTTTATAAAATGTATGGAATTTCATCAGGCAGGTAGAGGGAAGAAACAACAAGTGTAAACAGCAATGACTGACAGTTTCTCTGTTATGCCTCTCAGGGTCAGTGTGGTTCCTGTTGGGCTTTTAGCTCTGTGGGTGCCCTGGAGGGACAACTCAAGAAGAAAACTGGCAAACTCTTAAATCTGAGTCCCCAGAACCTGGTGGATTGTGTGTCTGAGAATGATGGCTGCGGAGGGGGCTACATGACAAATGCCTTCCAGTATGTGCAGAAGAACCGGGGCATTGACTCTGAAGATGCCTACCCATATGTGGGACAGGTGAGACTGTCCCACACAATTATACAGCTCCTCCTTCCCCAGCATGATATTGTTTTCTGTTACCCTATCTTGCTTTCTTGATGGGATAATTTCCCACAGAAGGCCAAGAACATTCACACAATCTGGGAGAATTTAGGGAGCTTAGGCTACCGTAGCTCCTATCTGCCCCTCTGCCCTGGAGAAAAAAACAGGACAGGTTATCCCATAGATCTCTGAGTAGGTCTCTATAACCCTCAGCTCAACTCCTCCACTCCCATCACGAATCCCTAAACCTACCATGCTAATTTCATGAATCATGTGTCTTTATTTTGTATGACTTCAGTGTGAGTTTTGGGAACATTTAAGCAAATTATGTAAGTTAACATGCTAAAGTATAAAATGAGAGAAAAAACAAGTTGTTTCATATTTATTGTAATTTTAGAGATCAACTCACTTCTTCCTATAAGATCTTTTAGTAATAGGAAGGAGATCTGAGGGCTTTTTATATACATGGGGTTGATAAATAATATAATATGAGGCCTTTGCAACAGGGGCCTTTGAAGCAAGAATAGCAAGTTTGAGTAATAAAAATAATGGCTACTATGTGCTAAGCCATGTGCTTAGTGCATTTTCTCACTTAATCGTCATAACAGCCCTATAAGGTAGACTTGTCCTCATTTTATCGGTGAGGAAATTGACGCTTCAGGAGATAAAACAGCATACTCAAATTCATACCACTAGAGATGTAGCAGACTTAAGATTTATCTACCAGATCTGTTTATCTACAGTAAATATTCCCAGGCATATGTTCTATACACATGTGCAAGAATTTCTTTACTAGAATATAAATAATACCTTGGAACAGAATTGTCTGAGTCTTAGGGTATGTGCATCTTCTACTTTACTAGCTAATGTCAAATTGTTTACCAAGGTATTTGGAAAAATTTATATTCTACCTGCAGTGTATAAGAAATCCCACTGATTTACACCTTCAGTGAATTGACTATTTATGTTGTTTGTCTATTTTTAATTAGGTTTTTTTCCTCTTTCTTACTGATTTTTAGGAATTTTTAAAAGATATTTGGATACTAATACTATGTGTGTTATAGATTGATGTTTGTCTTTTTACTCATTTTATGAGGTCTTTCAATCCAGAAAATTTCTTAATTTTAGTGTAGTAAAATTATTAATCTTTTCCTTTGAAATTTGCACTTTTAAAAAAATCCAGTAGCAATGAGTTTTATTCATTCATGTTTAGTCATCTGAAATGATGTCTGGCTGAAATAAAATACTCATTAATGTAAATGATTGAAAAATCCATTTCACTGGATACTCAACAACCTACCGAGTAAAGTCACTTCAACACATGCTCATGACATTGGCCACATCAAAACAGTACTTTATTTTTGTAAATTTCATCCCATTATTATTCCATGTTATGGTTTTTTAGCTTTGATGGATAAGGCAGAGAAATTGGAGGTTGTACCTGGAAAAAAATTTCTTTAATCCGTGTACTATTTTCAGAAATATTGGGTCCCAAGTCCATGTTTGAACTCTGGCACTGCTACTATAAGGTGCAGCATACTAAAGCTGCCCTAACAGATTAGCTTTTTAATTCTGAATACATCAGGCCAATTAGTGAGATAAACTGAACATGGCAAAATATTCTTTTTTGAAAAGTCAAATATTCTTTTGGCAACTTTCTGTTGTCACTTGATATCAAAAAATTAAACAAATCCCAACAGTATATACAAAAAACAGATATATGTTTATAATTTTTTCCGTATTGCTTAATCCAGACAGCCAATTTAAAGATTTGTGTAACTATATTAAAGAAAAATAAATACTATCAGAATAGTCGATCACTCATCCATAGCTTGCATCATTTATTCAGTACTATATTAACCAGTTTGTTGAGAGAGACTTTAACTAATAGCTCAGAGACTCTAAATAATTTAAATGAAAATTACATAATATTTGAAACCTTCTTTTGGAATAAAAGGAGAATTTGACTTCTAATTTCTGTTCTTCTGCCCCCTCAAATGATTTCTTTTCAGCATTTTAGAGCACTGTGGAATGATTTTGGTCTCATAATCAATTAAAATGAAGAATTAGCCATATAAGACATATGTTCCATTTTTAACATTATGAATCTTGGGCCACTATTCTCTTGTATCTACTTTATAGTTTTTAAAAACAGTTCTTGTCCAAAACTGAAAGAACTTCTCTTCTCACAGGAACATGTGAATGAATGGAGGGACGTAAACAAAAATAAAATTTAAAAAAGAAGAGATCTGATAGGGCAGCAGCCAGATAATATAGTAATTTAAGTTCATTCCAGCTATAATGCAGGTTATTCTGACTTTCAAGTATCATGGCATGGCATCCTTCGAAATCCATTCCGAAGATAATTTATTTTACTTCTGGATCTGTGCAATTTTTGGCACTAGGAGGCATCAAGGGTTTGGATCATATGGCAGAGAACAAAGGAATCTTGAGAAATTATTAAGACAAGAGTCTATTGTAACTTTAGAATATTATGTCAAATGCTGCCAATATGGATATTTAGATAATGTATTCTTGTAGATGCAGCTTTAGGGCTTCGAGGGGGTCATGTCTGCTGGGAAAATGAATTGCCAAAAAGACTATACCACCCTGACGTGGGTTGCCTTTAGATTCCATACATGTGGCTTGCCAATGAAACATATCATTTTTAACTATACCTGCAAAACATAGTGTTAGAACTTCAAGGGTGGGCCGGCCCCACGGCTTCAGCGGTTAAGTGCGCGCGCTCCGCTACTGGCGGCCCGGGGTTCGGATCCCGGGCGCGCACCGACGCACTGCTTCTCTGGCCATGCTGAGGCCGCGTCCCACATACAGCAACTAAAAGGATGTGCAACTATGACATACAACTATCTACTTGGACTTTGGGGGGAAAAAAAAAAGGAGGAGGATTGGCAATAGATGTTAGCTCAGAGCCGGTCTTCCTCAGCAAAAAGAGGAGGATTAGCATGGATGTTAGCTCAGGGCTGATCTTCCTCACACACACAAAAATAAATAAATAAATAAAGAACTTCAAGGGCTAAATTGCTAAGTTCTTTATTAATTTGTTTTAGTGTCATGTTATGTGCTTTTACCTCTGTCTCTCATGACAGCACAAGAGTCCAGCCAAAACTCTTTGCCTTGCACTAGTTCCCCTGATACATGTGCATAGGGCCCGGTTCCTCCCTCTAGCTGGCCCTTGGCATTGGCCTCCTCCCCACACAGCAGCTGGTGTCTCCCTGCCCTCTGAGGCTCACATATACTACATGGCCAGAGACGATTTGTGCTTTTAAAAAAATCCTATTTCAGAAATTTTTCTCTACCCTGAGGTAATAAAAATATTCTCTCTCTCTCTCTCTTTTAAGTTTTATGGTGTTTCCTTTCATATTATGTTTTTAAATCACCCGGAGATGATTTTTTTATACGTAGCAAGGCATCCACTTTTCCTATTCTTTTTTGTAGTTGTCTAAAATGGTGAGGAGAGAACAGACCCTCTCTAGAGACTCGAGTTTGCTTGCCCCTGTTAGTTCACTGACATCACTCAAAACATTGGTAGAGTTTCTCTCTCACCAATTCATTGCCTGTTGCTCTGTCCTAGTCCTATTTCAACCTTGTTTTTTCCAGGATGAAAGTTGTATGTACAACCCAACAGGCAAAGCAGCTAAGTGCAGAGGGTACAGAGAGATCCCTGTGGGGAACGAGAAAGCCCTGAAGAGGGCAGTGGCTCGAGTAGGACCTGTCTCTGTGGCCATTGATGCAAGCCTGACCTCCTTCCAGTTTTATAGCAAAGGTAAGGAGCTGTTCCTAGAGAGCACAATCAACCGTCTCTTACAATGTGGGCTTGGCAGCTTCTCCAAGAGCACTGAGCATTTTCAGTACTTAGTTTCCATATTCAGACTGTCTGCCAGAGAGAAATTAGCAGCCGCCACAGCACAGAGCATCTCTGTCATAAACCTTCCTCACTCGGACGGGATTATATAGAGGGTCTCCTAGGCTGAGAGATCCACAGGGTGGCCCTTGGATTGCAGAAAGTTTCACCTTTGACAGTTTGTTTCCTAGGTGTGTATTATGATGAAAACTGCAATAGCGATAATCTGAACCATGCGGTTTTGGCAGTGGGATATGGAATCCAGAAGGGAAACAAGCACTGGATAATTAAAAACAGGTAATGATGGAAACACTACTTTTGTCGTTCAATCACTCTCTTAACACTCAGCCTCAACTCCAACTTCCCAATCTTCCCTTCTCTCTCTTAAATCAAAGAAAGTTGCCTCAGACTTTTCCATTCTACCTTCCCAATCAGAGGCTATTAATTCTAACATTTAATGGTCAGACAATAGTATGTAAAGCACATATTGGGCAGCTTGCTCCACGTGCAAGGTGCTTAGTCACGTACACAAACAAATGAGCAGGATGTCTGCCTTCAGTGATCTCATAGCCCCTAAGAAAGACAGACCTAACTAACCAGAACATAAAGTAGCACCAACAAGCAGCAGGAGCTTTGGAATTATATATTTTTTCTTTCTTTTTTCTCTAATGTGATCAATTTCTTAGGGAGGTTTCCATCCTCAGTCTGTCTATAAGCAGTAGGGAACAATGTAAAAGTTTAATGTCCCTTTGTGCAGCTCTTTGCCCTTCCAGATACACTTAGGATAGACATGTATAAGGACTCACCAGGGGCCAGCCTGGCTGTAGTGGTTAAATTTGTGGGGTTACCCCTTCAGCGGCCCGGGGTTTGGATCCTGGGCACGGACCTACACACCGCTTATCAAGCCATGCTATGGAGGCATCCCACATATAAAGTAGAGGAAGATGGGCACAGATGTTAGCCCAGGGCCAGTCTTCCTCAGCAAAAAGAGGAAGATTGGCAATGGATGTTAGCTCAGGGCTAATCTTCCTCACACACACACAAAAAACTCACCAAAGATTTTGAAATCTGCAAAGAGAAACGCTTTTCAGAAAAGAGAGATGAACAACAACAAAAAATTACTGTTTCCTTCCCTATTACTGGAAGAAATAAAACTACAGGGTACCTTGGCTTCCCATTTCTCTTTAGCCCCTGTGACTTTGGGGGGACAGATCTATGAGAATTATACTTTTCCTTTCCTCATTGGTCAACACCAGCCTAGCAGCAGCACTGACTAAATTTTCTGTCCTTGGTGCCCTTCAAGGAGCAGGAGTCCCTGACTCTGGGGAGTTCACAGCCAAAGCAGTGGTGTAACCAAGTTGGGCTGCTACCTAGAAGGCTGGTAGGATAGAATGCGAGGCTGGGAGTTGCTTCAAACATGAAGCAACTTTTTATATCACGGTTCCAACTAACGGTGAGCCTGAACACCTTTCTAAGAAGGTGTTCCTTCTCCCACAGATTATATCCTGTGTTGTTCTTTTCTCGACTCCCAGTCCCAAGCACTTACCCTGTGCTTTCTTGATCATGTGCCAAGGGTGGAGGGCTGCATCCGAGAGAGCTGGGAGGAATAAGGGGCAAACACAGGTAGGATCAGGATCACTGGGGACCCCTGGAAAAGGGAACAGAGGTAGAGTACTGGTCTTAAGTAAAATGTATTGGGTAAGTGGAGAATTTGCTGGTTGGAGAAAAAGGACAGAAAACTCATGAAAACAACTTAGGAAGATATATAAACCAATCTCCCCTCTCTCTCCGTCTGTCTGTCTGTCTGTCTCTCTTTCTCTCCCTCCCTGTCTCTCTCTCTAGTCTTCCATTCTCTTCACTTGTTTCCTTAGCAATCTTATCCATTCTCATAGCTTCATTCATCTCTCCTGTGGGGTTTACTCCCAAACCAAGATCACCAGCTTCAGCCTCTCTTGCCTCTTTCTTATGCTCTAGACTCACATTTTCAAGATTACTCTTCCTAAAACACGAATCAGATCATATCACTCTCCCAATCAGAAACCTTCAGTGTCTCTCCCACTATAATGGTCACATAGTCAAACTCTTTAGCCTGGCAGCAAAGATAATTCAACCTGATCTCAATCTACCTTTCCTGTCAGGTGTCCTATTTTTCAGCCACATGATCTCAACACATGCCTATGCTTTCCTGCCTCTATTACTCATTTCATACTCCTCCAGGGGTATCCCATTTCCACAAGTCTAAATTCTATTCAGCCTTTGGGCTCAGCTCAAATGCCACCTCTTACATTCAGCCTTCTTTGATCCCTTTGATCAGAAGCAATCTTTCCTACCTTTGAGACCTATAGCATTATGCCTTCTCTCCATTTCTTGATTTGAAACTCTTTAAAGGTAAAAACAGTCTTATTCATTTTTGTATACCATCAGTACCTAGCACAATACCCAGTGTTTTAATGAATAAATAAACCAAGAGTACTAAGTATTTTCCTTGATTGGTCCTACAGCTGGGGAGAAAACTGGGGAAACAAAGGCTATATCCTCATGGCTCGGAATAAGAACAACGCTTGTGGCATTGCCAACCTGGCCAGCTTCCCCAAGATGTGACTTCAACCAGCCAACCCCATCCTGCTCTTCCATTCCTTCCACGATAGTGCAAGTACTGATGTACTTTGGAAGGGAGTTGGTGGCCTTTCTTGAAGCAGATGTCATGATACAGAGATTGTCTGTTCAGTTTCCCCATTTGTTTGTGCTTCAAGTGACACTTTTTCTACTTTCCTTCTCTCCACCCAAGGCCTTTCACTGTGGCCACAGTAGGAATTTCCCTAACAGGTGTGCGTTCTCAGGCTAAGAGATGTGACCACAGCCTGCCCTGACTGTGTTGTTCTGGGGCTAACTCTGTGCAAATAGTTAGAGGCTAGAGATCTTCAGATAGGCTAGATTCTCATTCACAGGGACTAGTTAGCTTTAACCAATCTAGAGGACTAAGATGACCTGACTTCTCAGTTTCCAAGTTTACTTCTTCTATACCCTCAAGGTAGAAATTTCTATGTTTTTCACCCCAATTCATAAATCTATTCATAAATCTTTGGTGCAAGTTTACATGATACAAGAAATGTGTTTTCTTTGTCCTTCTTTGCATTTTTAAAGTAAAGCAAGTATTTATCTCTTGTCTGTAATTTAGTAAATAGCTATTTAGTAAACATTGATTTTGTGTTGGATACTGTGCCAGGTGCTGGAGACAAAAAGATGAATAAAACATATTCCTTATACTTGATGTGCTCATAGTTTGTTTGGAGAGACTGTCATATAAACAATTCACTCCTAATTCATTTATTTGTTCATTCCTTCAACCAACATTTATTAAGTACTTACTTATACTAAGAACTGTACTATGTTTCAGGGATTAAATGGATATAAGGAGACTTCAATATTTAATTCTATCTGTAGGGGGACCAGATTGACACATGAACCTGGGTCTTGAAAAATATCTAAGGCCCTTTCTGAGGTTCTAGAACCTAAACTTTTGCTGTCACCAAAAGAGGAAGTTGAAGCTCTTTCTAATGGTTTCCAAGCAGTATTAATTCTAAAGAACTTAGCTGGCTAGTAATAAATCAACACAACTGGTTTTGCCATTTTTCATAAAATGTTTATTGAGCACCTATTATTACCACTAGAAAGAGGTGATATTTATTGAATGCTTACCATATGTCAGGCAGTATTTTATTTCATTCTATGCAAAAATTATTTATTTTTGTATGTAAATATTTATTACCATGTGGTAAGCAGTGTATTTAAAGCCAGGAGGATGAAACAAATTAGTAAGACATGGCCCTGACGTAAAGAATGTTATAGACTAGTGACAGACATATAAACAACTAATAATACCAACCATAATGAAATAAATACTAATTATGCAAGCTCAGGAATGAGTCATTAATTCTTAATGGGATTTTAGATGAGGCTTCATTGAGAACAGAGCTTTGAAGGATCTGAAAGGGCAGAGAAGACAGGACAGGGGGACAGGTTGAGGGGAGAGAGGGCATATCAAGCCAAAGGCTCTGGGTGAACAAAGGTACCCAGAGAGCTGTGTGTGTGAATGGTGAGGGCTGGGGTGGCTCAAGGATAGAGTGCAAAGGCATACGTGGTAGAGCCGACGTGAGAAAAGTAGGTTGGAGGTGAATCCTGGATAGCCTTGAATGCCTCCCATGTCCCAAGAAGTTCATACTTTATTTTATAGACACACAGGCATATTAGTAGCATCAAATATTTTTGAACACGAGAGAGACATAATCAAATCTATATTTTAGCAGTATTCCTCTGGTAGTGTTGTAAAGAACAAATAACAGATGAAGAACAAAATGGAAATGCAAGAAATTGGAGGAAAGTCAACACTTAAGGAGACACTGCATGTATTCTATTTCTTCTCGAAGAAGGAATACTTCACAGAAGAATGACTCCTGAACTTTTTTGAAGCTTGAGTATGAGTTTGGCAGATAGGGTAGGTGAAAAACAGCTTTCTAGACCCAAAGCATAGCATATTCAAGTGTGTAGGAATGAGAGAGCACGTTCAGCAACCTGAAAGTAGTTTTTGTTGAGCTTTGAAAGGACCAAAGACAAGCTTGAGAGATGTCTCACTCCCCACTGGAGAAATCTATACAGTTCTGTTATTTTGATCTGGAATTTTTTCCTTCTGCCTAAAGAATATCCTTTAGAATTTCCTTTCGTATGGATATGTGGGCAACAAATTTACTCCATTCCTATATGTATTTGGGTTTATTTCTAGATTTTCTATTCTGGTACATTAATATGTATGTCTATACACAGTATAGATATAATGACCAGTATTACACATTTATAATGTGTTTTAATATCTAATAAGGTTAGTCTTCTCCTTATTATTCTCCTTTTTTAGAATTTTTCCTGAATATTCTTGCTTTTTATTTTTTCCATGTGATCTTTAGAATCAGCTCATCAAGTTATTAAAAATCCTGCTGGTATTTTTATTTGGATCACATCAAATTTATATCTTAATTAGGGAAAATTGACCTCTTTATACTATTGAATCTTCCATCTAAGAATAAGAGGTGCCTTTATATTTTTTCAAGTATTCTTTTGTGCCCTTCTTATAGATATTGCTCATTTCTTGCTAACTTTTTTTCTAGGAATTTTATCTTTAGTATGATTTTTTCAGTTTAAATGGGGTCTTTTCCAATATACTTTCTAATTAGATGTATATTTGAAAGCTATTGATTTCTGTTATATTAGTTTTTGTACTCAGCTACCTTACCTTGAATTCTCTTTTTGTTTATGTGTTTTTCAGTTGATTCTCTGGGATTTTTTTTTAGTACATAAGTGTTTCATCCATAGAGGTAAATTTTACCCCTTTCTTTCTGATTTTTACCTCTAATTTCTTTCTTATCTGTTTGCATTAGATAATATCTCCAAAATGATGATAAGCAATGGAGCTGATAGATCCTGACCTAGAAACATGATTATTTTTATAGATGCATGAAATTCCCCTGTAAAGATGTACATAAATTATTTAACTAAACCCTAATAAATTTTTTAATTTTTTGTTTATTGCAGTAACATTGGTTTATAACATTGTAAAAATTTCAGGTGTACATCATTGTACTTCTATTTCTGCATAGATTACATCATGTTCACCACCAAAATACTAATTACAACCCATCACCACACACATGTACCGAATTATCCCTTTCACCCTCCTCCCTCCTCCCTTCCCCTCTGGTAACCACCAATCCAATCTCTGTCCCTATGTGTTTGTTTATTGTTGTTATTATCTACTACTTAATGAAGGAAATCATACGTAAACCCTAATAAATTAACATTTATATTATTTCCAGTGTTCTCAGTTACAAATACTGCAATTAATGACTGATATTTTGACACAAAGAAGTTTTAAAATGATCATATAATTAAATCTCTCATTATATAATTTTTCTTTCATAATAGCAATATTACCTAACATTTATTGAGCTTTACTATGCAGCCCATGCCATGTTAAATTCTTTACACACAGTACTCTTATTATTGCCATTTTATAGATATCAAATAGCTTGCTGAAGGTAAGCTAGCTAGTAACTGGCTGAGCCAGGATGCAGACCCAGATCTTTTCTGCTTTTTATCTTCTTTTATAAATTTTATTATTATTATGTTTAACTTTATGTTATGGAACATTTCGAACATATACAAAAGGAGAGAGAGAGTAGCAGAGTGAAGTTCCATGTACTCATCATCCAGCTTCAACAATTATCAACATTTTCCAATCTTGTTTCATTTATCCCGCCTCCATTTTTTTTTTTTTAGTATTTTAAAGCAAATTCCAGATATTTTACTCATAAATACTTCATTATACATCTCTGAGTGAGGAATTTTTTTTTATATAACCACCATGCCATTAGCACACCTAACAAAATTAATAATTGTTTCCTAATATCATTTAATATTTAGTACATTTTAAAACTTCTTCAATTGTTTAAAGGTATCTTTTAACTGTTAGTTTACTCAAATTAGTATCCAACAGATTTATACATTGCATTTGGTTGTTATTAAGTCTGCTGTGTTCTTTGACAGTCATTTTCTGTACCCACACTCTCCCCAAACATACTTACTTTTTTTTTTCTTGTAATTGCTTTCATGGAGAAGCCAGGTCATTTGTCCAGTAGAATGTTTCATACTCTGGATTGAGCTGATTACTTGTTCTTTCTGAATTCAAGGTCCTAGTGCTCTTAGCTACTACAATATACTCTGTTTCTTACTTTCCTTCACAGACATTATGAGGAGAAAATGAAAACTTACAACTGACAGCTCATTATACTTTCATTGGTACAGGTACTACAGAAGTCCTGGGCAGTTTTATTCTTTTACAGTACATATCCTTTTGGCTGAACTCTCAGGCTCTTCTGCCCTTGAAAAGCCTCTATGAGTCATTGACAGGTTTCATAATACTTACAAGTTGAGTTTGTCCAAGGACTTCAGGAATCTAGTTCTTCACCTCTGGCCATTTATTGCCTAAAGGCTTGTTTTCCGAGACTCTATGTGTAGATTTAACAGGATAAGGATGCCATGCTTCTGCAGATGACAAGATCTTATATGTCTAAAATTCTAAGGAATTAACTGAAAAACTGTTAGAACTAATAAAGGAGCTCAGCAAAGTTGCAAGGTACAAAATCAATATACAAAAATCAATTTTATTTCTATATAGTAGCAATGAACAAACTAAAAATGAAATTAAGAAAACAATTCCATTTACAATAAGAATTAAATAGAATCATCAAAAAGAATAAAATACTCAGGAACAAATTTAGCTAAAGAAATGCAACAAACTTCCAGTTATAAAATAAATGTCATGGGGATATAATGTACAGCATGGCAACTATAGTTAATAATACTGTATTACATATTTGAAAGTTGCTAAGAGGGTAGATTTTAAAAGTTCTCATCATAAGAAAAAAAATTTTGTAACTATGTGTGGTGACAGATGTTATTTAGACTTATTGTGGTGATCACAATTCACAGTACAGTCATGCATTGCTTAATGACAGAAATTAAGCCAAGTTCTGGGAAATGCATCGTTAGGCAATTTTGTCATCATGCAAACATCATAGAGTATACTTACACGAACCTAGATGATATAACCTACTACACACATAGGCTATACGGTACTAATCTTATGGAACCACCATCTTATATGTGATCTGTCATTGACCGAAACATCATTATGTAATGCATGACTATATATAGAAATATTGAATCATATTGTACACCTGAAACTAATATAATGTTGTATGTCAATTAGACCTCAGTAAAAAAATAAAGTAAAATAAAAAATAAAGAAGTGCAAATCTTATACTCTGAAAACTACAACACACTGTTGAAAGAAATTCAGAAGACCTAAATAAATGGAAAGACAGTCTATGTTCATGGATTAGAAGATACAATATCATTAAGATGGCAATACTCCCCAAATTGATCTATAGATTTTAAAACTCCCTATCAAAATCTCAGCTGGCTTCTTTGTAGAAATTGACAAGCTGACCCTAAAATTCATATGGACATTCGAAGGACCCAGAATAGCCAAAACAATCTTCAAAAAGAATAAAGTTGGAAGACTCACACCTTCCAATTTCAAAACTTACTACAAACCAATAGTAACCAAGACAGTGTTATTACTAGCATAAGTATAGGCATATAGATCAATGGAATAAAATTGAGAATATAGAAATTAACTCTTTCATTTATGTTCAATTGAGTTTCAACAAAGGTGCCATGACAATTCAACAGGAGAAAGAATAGTCTTTTCAACAAATGCTGCTGGGATAACTGGACAACCATATATAAAAAATGAAGTTGGAATGCTACCTCACACCATATATAAAAATTAATTCAAAATGGTTTAAAAACCTAAATGTGAGAGCTAAAACTATGAAACTCTTAGAAGAAAACATAGGGATGAATCTTCCTGATCTTGCCTTAGACATGACACCACAAGTACAAGCAACAAAAGAAAAAATAAATTGGACTTCATCAAAATTCAAAACTTTTGTGCATCAAAGTGTCACTCAAGAGAGTGAAAAGACAGCCCACAGAATGGGAGAAAATGTCTGCAAATCATATATCTGTTAAGGAATTAATATCCAGAATACATAAAGAACTCCTACAACTCAACAGCAACAGAAACCAAACAGCCCAAAGCAAAAATGGGCAAAGGATTTGAATAGACATTTCTCCAAAGAAGATGTACAAATGATCAATAAGCACATGAAAATACGCTCATCACTAGCCTTTAGGGAAATGCAAATCAAAACCACAGTGAAGTATCACTTCACACACATTAGGATGGATATTAACTTTTTAACAAGTGTGGCAAGGATATGGAGAAATTGGAACTCTGGTACCTTGCTGGTGGGAATGCAAAATAGTGCAACTGTTATGTAAAACAGTTTGAGGGTTCCTCAAAAAGTTAAACATAGAATTACCGTATGATCTAGGAGTTCCACTCCTAGCTATACATCCAAGAGAATTGAAAGCAGGGACTCAAACGGATACTTGTACACCAGTGTTCTTAGCAGCGTTCTTCACAATAGCCAAAAGGTAGAGCCAACCCAGATGTCCATCAACAGATGAATGGATAAACAAAATACGGTATATGCATGCAATGGAATATCACTCAGCCTTTAAAAAAAGAATGAAATGTTGATACATACTGCGACATGAAAGAACACTGAAAACATGATAAGTGAAATAAGCCAGACTCAAAAGGACAAATGATTCCACTTATATGAGGTATTTAAAATAGGCAAATTCATAGATACAGAAAGTAGAATAGGCTGGGGTCATTACCAGGGGCTGAGGAGTTATTTCTTAATGGGTGCAAAACTTCTGTTTGGAATGATGAAAAAGTTCTAAGTGGGGGAGGTTATGAATGTGTGGGGGCAAGAAGTATATTGGAACTCTGTACTTTCAGCTCAATTTTGCTGTGAACCTAAAACAGCTCTAAAAAATAAAGTCTATTTGAAACAAAAAAGTTCTGAAAATAAATGTGGCGATGGTTACACAACATTGTGAATGTACTTAATGCCACTGAATTATATAGTTAAAAATGGTTAAAACGGTAAATTTTATGTTATGTATATTTTACCACAATTAAAAAAAAATCAAAAAGAGAAGTTCTAGTGACTATTTAAAGCTTTATTATCCAGCCATGTAATTCTGAATTAAACATTGCTCAATCACTGTTTTGTTGTTATTCCTGTCTTCTCTGCTTCTCTTACAGTCTATATTAGCAAATTCTCTCCCTCCATCTTCAAAATACAATATGAATCTAGCCACTTCTTTACCTCCACCACAACACCCCCCCAGACCCCCAGTTTAAGTCCCCATCATTTCTCCCCTGGACTTCTGTGGTAACCCTACTAACTTCCCTACTTCAATGCTACACTCTGCTTTACTGTAGCCCACACTATAGTCTATTCTCTGTACAGCAGATCACATCACTCCCCTGTGCAAAGCCCTCCCATTATACTTTCATTTATTTAACAAGCTAGGCACTGTTCTGGGAATTCAGCAGTGACAAAAATCCATGACTTCATTGAGCTTATATTTTAGTGAATTTAGAATATAATACAAAATTCTTAAGTAGCCTACAAGGATGATCTGGTCCCAGGCTACCTCTCTGACTTCATTTCAGCCCATGGCCCTATGGAGAGTGGTTCTCTAAACAAAATTAGAATTCTGCTGGAAAGGAAGTGAGGGGTGAATGGTTGTTGTTAAAAAATGTTCATACCTACATAAAAGAGTACTTACCAATGTCCTCTCCCCAGTGAGACAACCCAGGGCCTTACCTGGTTACTGTGTTTAGCTCTAAGACCAGGATTTTGCGCTGATGTATACAGCCTTCCATATCAAGTTTGGATATGGACCTTGAGACCTGGCAACCTAAAACTTAAGTTTTTATCTATATCCAGTATATCTAAAAAATGATGGAGAAGAACAGGGTAACTACAATGAAAAGTCTAATTCTGGAAATGGGAGAATGGATGGAAAATAGTACATGGTTATCATTGGTCCATAGCATATATTATATCCTGCTAGACAGGAATATGGAAGACTCCATCCCTGGCAGTGGAGTGAGTTTCTTGGCCAGCCAACTGGGAACCTCCAGGTTTGTTCTCTGTGGGGATCTTCTTTATCATCCACCATGGCTCCTGGTTCTTCCTGCTAGATGATCTTGCTTGTCTCTTATTCTCCATAGCTATGCCACAGGTGGGCATGGGGTAAATGCCCTTTGGGGAGACCGACTACTCAACTTTAGCTGTGGTACAAACTGGGAGTCTAAAAAGGCAATAGACTGTGAGGCTTGGGGTTTCTTTGGTAATACAGTTCCCATAAAAGCTCAGTAGCCTTGGTTTAATTTCTTCTGGTAGTTACCACAGCCAAAGATTTTGTTTCTAGTTACTGTAGCCAGAGGGATGCAAAGCTTTAATGGGCTAGCCTTGGGACCTACACCCAACCCTGAAGCTAGGGGTGAATTTGCTTCTATCTTTAAGCCCAGGAGTGTGTGTGTGTGTGGAGGGGTCCCCACTTTAAAATCAGACTGCTATTGCCACAAGAAGGA